CCCTCCCCCCCCCTCCCTCCCTCGCTCACTCTCTTACTCTCTCTCTTCCTTTATATTTCTCTATCGTTCCCTTTCTGTCAATCCGTCCCCCTCTGTTCCTCGCTCCATAGTTACTCCCTTGTGAGTGGGCGATAGCTCAGCAAGCCCCGCAGCGACGATGGACTTTGAAGCTGTTCTTTGATATGAAACAAGTGAATCTTGAAATCATCCGCTGGCATCTCATGCAAAATGTGTCTTGGTGCGTGTGCGCGCGTGAGTGCATGATAAGTATGTGCGTGATTCGCACATCAATCGCACTACACATGATCGCCTGCACCGTGTAATCTCACTGTCGTCGTCTGTCTTCTTTCTCGCTTCACAGTTGGAGAAGCTCTACCGTGACCGTCCCCCAGCTGCTGCTGCCTCCTCCGCAGCGATCACCTCCTTAGTTCGCATCCGCCAAAACTCGGAGTGGGCGGATCTGCACCTGAGCAATGTCGAGGCGTGGCTGCAGGCCCACATCCACGTCTGACCGCCGACGCGAATCAACGCCTGGATCGCTACCATCGAATGTGGCGCCCTCGTGCGGTCAATTGGCGACGTGTTGATTTTGACTGTTGCGTTTGAGTGTGTGGAGTTTTTCTGTATGCGTGTAGTCGCCCGTGCGGAGCGGCTGACTTGACGAGCCGTGGGGGTTTCAGCAGATGCATGCTAACAACTACAATACTGCGTGTTACCGAGGATAGAAGCGAGGGTGGAAGCTGCAATAGTGCGCGTGCGTGCGTGCGTGCGTGCGTGCGTGTGTGAGTGTGTGTGAGCGCGCGCGCGTGTGCCCGTGTCTGTGCGAGCGTTGTATAATGATAGTGCCGCTACGACGTTCTATTTTTGCTACAATGTATTCCTGTTTGCGTTCGGTCCAGCGACCGGCGATTTATTTTCTTCTGTTTTCGCTGCGAATCGAGATATCGACGGACACTCACGCAGCATAGTATCACAGCGCCGTCTGGCGTGACGCAACGCGTTTAAATCGAAGGCGATTGTGAGATCCATTGCTCCACGAATTTGTGTAATATCCACTCCGTGTCATCTCTTCGTAAAACGCGTCGCGCTGGAACGGTTGTTCGTGTTGTCGAGTGATTGCTACATGTATTGGTATGTAATGGTAACAGCGCTGGCAGCATCGGCAGTAACGCTACCCTTACATGGCCATTGTTACGGATGTGTATTCGTAAGGATGTCGTGTTACTCTCTGCAATACTCCAGGCTTGTTCAACAGTGCGAACGCTCGCGAACGCTCGCGTACGCTCGCCTTCTGAACGACACTGCGCGGGCGAGTGCTCCCGAGACTGTTCGCGCAGCGCGCGAGTTGTTTTCAAGATGGCGACGGGCAATCTGGCGAATGCGAATCTAACATTTCTGACTTCAATTTCAATCTATTTCAACTTCATTTTATTTTTTATTCATTCATTCACTTTTGAATTCAGATCATATCAATTTCGTCTGCTAATTCGTTTAATAGTACTTGTTCGAAGACATTAAAATCTCGCGTTAAAATCTGCTGAGGGACCCGCCATGGGGGCCGTCATCTTGGATTCATGGTTCAAGTGGCGCTGCGTTCGTGCGGCGAGCGTTCGCTGCGAGCGTTCGCGCTGTTGAACACGCCTTTGCAGGTTTAGCGGGTAGGGTCAGGGGTAAACGACTAATAATATAACATGACGTCATATCTCGCCATGCGATCAGCTGGCGCCTGACACGACATTACACATTATACGCTCTATTTTGACTATAGATGGCGCCCTGTTCGGTCGATGGGGCGAAACTCCCATAGGTAAAAACGTGTTCATTTGATAGCCATGGTGGCGGAATGTCTGCTGGTTTTACGTTATAACACCATACGGTGAGATGAACGAAGGAGAAACTTGTTCTCAGTATTCAAATGGCTCGTTGTAAGAGCGATCCTAGAATTAGGACGAAAGTTGAACCTATATGCTAGGAGTAACATCGCTGGCTTAATGAGATCGCACGAGTCGTGATTTCCTCGACAACGGCTCAGGAGTAGAGATAGGACTAATTAAGACAGATTAGTATATCTATAGGACTAATCTTAGAGCTACATGGCCGTGTAGCGTCGCATAACGTTACGTCTTATACGTCCACCGACGCGGCTGCATTTGAATTATATTGTAAATAGCGATGATATGTTCATATCCCGAATGAAAACCATGTAACACGGCGTACATACGGTTTGCGATAACTGCCGATACACGTCTAAATATCTTACCCCACGCGTTCTAGTCCTATGTATTGTAGATAATTCCGTCATTGGTCTCTTGATGGGCACTCATAATTCACCGTGTTACCAATGAGATTTCAACGTCAGGCTACACTGATAATCTATCTGAATGTTCTCTAAGTTAACGAAGTCTGCAAGAATCACTTTACCAGTAAACTTACAACCTGGTTAAACGTACAACTACAATGCAGTAAGGATCGGGTAGAGCGGGCCATTATTGGCTAATTAATCCCGCAGCCTTTGTTGTTCACCGCTTCTGTATTTTGGTGTACATTCGTGACATAAAAATAAAATACTATTAAACACAAGTGGCGTAAATATTGCTTGAATTCGTATACTCTGTTTTTACACAGTTTCACTATCGCTGTTATAATTAAATTTGTCTCTAGGCGCGCATTCGTACACGCGTGCGAGGGTGCGTGTGCATGACTAGTATACCTGTATACCTGGCCGAAAATTCATCATCTGTCCCGCGATGATAATAATGGTGGACATGTAGGCGCTGAAGCCGTGTCTTCTCTACATGACTGCCATTACTACTAACACCTAAGCTCTGATTACTGTTAAAATCTCTCTATATAGGTCGCGAGCTTACTTCAGCTTACGGATTTAAGACTGTGAAGTTCACCTACATCTATATATATATATATATATATATATGACACGGATAGTTGACTCGCTCGCGAGTTGGCCCGCGATATATGTAGATTTGTAACCAAAATACATATAGTATACCCGCGCATTATATCGGCGTTGTGCGTGCACGCAATGATTAGATATCATATATATGATTATTTACTCACTGATATTCACGAGCGGCAGATCTATATTAACATTTTCACAACCAGTTTAGGCGCGTACGTGATCTCCTAACACATGTCATCTGCAACAGTTTCAGTTTGATAAAATGCTCGAGCGGAGGCGTGGTGAAGTGCACCCTTGCCACATTCCGATGTGAACTCCATTATTGTGTGCTTTCAAGAAGGCTTAACGAAATTATTTAGATAGGTCATATTCTATATACCGATCTAATATGAATGTATAGATTCTGCCATGTTTTTAGCGCGATCGAAGAACCCAGAGCACATTGTCTTCTGCTAAATTAATCTCACGCTGTATATGCGACTACGCCTAGCTAGGATCGTGCAAGACCAGGCGAGGATTAAATTTAATTAAAATTTTAATTATGACCGCGCGGGCGCGCCTAGACAGCATCTCAGTCATTATTAAGGACGCCATTCCGCTGCTATTTTGAAGAATAACATTTCAAAAGTATAGCTAGGGGGCCGGAATTTTTTAATCCTTATTTCCTCACAAGTTTTTACGAAACGTCTATGCCCAAACCACCTTATGGAAATACATGTGTCGAAAATATTTTAACCCATAAAAATAACGTAAAATCACTTTCTATTATGTTCGCGTGCATTTCTTTAATAATAAAGTTAAGTAATTCGTTAGTTTGTAATAGATATACTTTCACGCAAGATTCTCCTAACAATTAATCACAAACCATTGTTCTCGAATAAAATTCCAATATATATTTCATATATTTCACAAACACTTATATACATGCATTTCTGAAACCATCTGACAAGTTTCTAAACCTTACTGTTATAGACCCAGAATGGCGTAAAATCATTCACGTATGTTACCGCATTTTTTCGATCTAACCAATACACGAGGGTGAATTATCACGCATTACTACTATTTTCTTAAAATCTATTTTCGTCAATGTGTGACAATTGTACAGGAAATTTGTTTAACGAGGGGAAGCATTTATTTACATATTTAATTTATAAAATATAGATGGAAAACAAAAAACTACGCGCGCAACTATTTACATTATAAAATAAGAATGTAACTGTTCATCACACCTACACCATGACTAGATTATCTTCTTCATGGGACATAACTCTCTCAAGAAATATTTCTGGGTAAGATTAAACATGCTTAGATATAATAATGTGTTATTTAATCTGTACATGCACAATTATAACGTTACCAATTATATCACCTAACTCTTAACTATAACTAGTTTCAAACGACAAGCTACCCCAATCTACACATATGCTAATGAACTATCATGCAAATACGCCATTTGTTACAACACCTTGTACAACGACGCATGCAACTTTTAACAAGATAAAAGTTAATAAAATTCCGATTTAGTTAAGATAAGGTGCGCATTCCTATAGCAAATTTTGAACGCGTGGTATCGGTATAATTTGTCACATCGTGATCTATTCTAACAAGCATGGTCCCTTTATACATAGAGGTCGCACTAGCAGAATCAACAAATTTCGCGGCATTTCGCGTTCATAGAACACGTTTCAATAAAAATTTAATCAATCAATCAACCGTTCAATCAATCAATTTATTGATTGATTAATTTATTCATTCATCCATTCATTTATTCATTCATCCATTCATTGATTCATCCATTCAATCAATAAATCAGTCAATCAATCAATCAATCAAACAATAAAAACATGCAATCAATCATGGAATGTCGATTAATCAATCTGACATGTCTGTAGATGGAGCTGGCTCCGATATCGGAATATCGCTCAGGTCGAGTCCCATTGAAGCCAACTGCTGAAGACTTGGCCCGGAGCTGTACATGTTGAAGAACGGGGAGGCTGAGTACTGCGGTGGAGCAGCGAGGAAGGCACCTGCAGGAGACGCCCACAGCCCCTGTCGCTGTGCTATCTTCAACCTCGCTGTCATCTGCTTCTTCCATTTTGTCCTGATTAAAGTAAATCGATTGCCTTGTTGCATGAACAGGGTGTGGCACTTTGATGTCTACGTCATCGTAAAATTAAATAACATATGAGTTGAATCTTAATTAAACTTTAAGTGTAACTGTAATTGTATATCGTCATCAGCACCATCATCACCATTACCATCACCGCCGCATAACCAACCAACGTGTTTCCCATTGTCCTATAATGTAGAAATCCATCACGTGTTTTGCTATAACACCGAAAACCCGTATACATGCACGCGCTAATCCGTACTTCACGGGTCTAGCATGTATTGGGCTAACATAAGAGCACTCTTATGCATGCTACGATAGAGTGCGTATAAAGGCATTTGCTGGTGACAGCTGCTCCACGGCTATGTGATATAATGCGAAAGAGTTAACATCGAATAATAGTTAAAATCTCTCTATATAGGTCGCGAGCTTACTTCAGCTTACGGATTTAAGACTGTGAAGTTCACCTACATCTATATATATATATATATGTCCATCTTATCTAGCAGCAAATCGCTTAATACGGGGAGTAGGCCTACACGTAACTTCTGTAAGGCGTACGTGATAAAGGCAGAATTACGTGCGCAAAAGTGCGCTTCTCTGCATTGAGTAAAATCATCATCAACAAATTTCGAGACGTAAATCGACTTTCCTTCGAGCTTTACAAAAGTGACATTTCAGGTAGAATTTGTTACCGTTTTTAAGTATTAATTGGTTATTGCTGTACTCCGATTACATAGTGCTTGTGGCTACTTTATTAGTTTTAGTTAGGTTTGGCGAATTGACACTAACGCACTAAAATGTTAGTTATTCGTTACATTTAATGTCTTGCGACAGAATTATCTTCACACATTTGCATTTATCGTCGCATACGTATACATTATCAATACTCCGGAAAAATGTAAGAAAATTTTTAAAATAGCCCGTGTCGTTAATAGAATGTTTGTATTCTGTGTGATAATTATATTTGTATCACATATATATAATTGTATACAATAAATAATACATATAATAATATATGCAATATATATATATATACATATATATATATATATATATATTATAGAATGAATGTATCATTTACTATAACGTTATTTCTGCTTAACTGCATGACGCTGTCTATCGCAGAAAATATAAACATTACGCTACCTGCGGTTTTGAAACACGTCTTTATTTGGACTTCGGTGAGATTCTAGAGGCCTGAGACAGTTCCATGCGTTTAGCTCACACTCAGATACTTGTCGCTTCTATCCGGAAAACAATAACCACGTCACGTGCTTATTAAATGGCTATAATGACTGTAGAGTAACTAGTTAGAGTGATATTCACTTCAGCTATCGGGCAGAAGTTCTAGTGAGTGAGTGAGTGAGTGAGAGAAAACGAGCGAGTGTGAAAAAACAGAAAAGACACACAACATACACACACACACACACACACACACACACAACACACACACACGCCACACACACACACACCCCACACCCACACACGACACACACACACACACACACACACACACACACACACAACACACATCACAGCACAGCCACACACACACACACACAACACATCACACAGAGAGAGAAAAAGAAGAAGAGAGGAAGAGAGAGAGAGGAGAGATAGAGAGAGAGAGAGAGAGAGAGAGAGAGAGACGAGAGAGAGAGAGAGAGAGAGAGAGAGAGATGCGTGCGTGTTCGTATATTGGAATTTACCTCCGGCCTCTGTTCAACCTCATTTCGTTTATCTACAAGTCACAAGTAAGAAAGATTTCTTTCGTTACAGAGTCACGCATAATATACTCTCACCTTGAACTCTTCTTCCAGCTTCTCCAGCTGCTTCGTGGAGTATGCTTGTCTCGGCTTCCTGTCAATGCCTGGTTTCCGTGACCGCTTGCCGGCGGGAGGTTTAGGTCCACCTACAGGGCCAAAATAAATTACTGTTACGGCGTCGCCATCTTAGCGTTCTTAACAAACGGATGGTTCGGTTCTTCGTCGAACTGAATAGTATAGGCGCGCGCGCCTATATTATACATAGATTATACATAGATTATTATACATAGATATAGTATGCGCGCGCAGACACATGCGTTCCTCGAGGACGTACATGATTACGGAGATAATCGCAGTTACCTGCTCCCCCGATTGATGCAGGCAGGCAGGCAGGCAGGTGTGTAGGAAGGCGCGCCCGCACGCCTGCACGTATATACAATCACGAACACGCGCACACCCGCGCACGCACGCAAAGATGCACACGCGCGCACGCGCACACACGCGCAAATTCACACACGCACAGACGCATATGCACGTACAAACACTCACACTTCCACTCACCCACACACACACACGCGCGCGCGCGCACACGCACGAATACACGCACGTACGCACACACGCACGCACGCACACGCACACATAATAATAATCTCTACTTTGCACAGTTCCAGTTTTTTTCTTGCTAGCGCACAAGAGGTGTGAAGGTCACTCGTCACATCCTCTTCGCTCTCTTTCCCCTCATTCCGCGCCCCGCATTCTTCTCTTGTTCTTCTCGTCGGCGAACCATGCGACGCCGTTTAATGCGTTTTAACAGTTGTATAACAGCGCTCATCATTTCGCCGAATTTGCGCGTCGAGGCAAACCGCAAAGTTTGCAGCTCGCACAAAAAAGCCGCCGCCGGCCGCGCGCCGACAAAAGAAAACGCGTCGCCGCTCGCCGCCACCAAACAGTCGTGTAAACGCCATTGTAAATTAACCGAGTTTAACTACATCTTTGTTTAGCGAGATCGCAGGTAAACGCGCAATGGCGATGCGCTGTCTGCGAGGCGCTATCGTGGAGGGTACTGCAGGGTGTCAGCCCGGTGGGGAGGGGAGGAGGAAGGGGGGATGCGCGGCGCGCGTCTGTGAAGGCGGTCACGTATGTGACGGCAGGGCGCGAATGGGCGCGCGTGGCGAGAGTCGCCGTCAGGCGGCGCGGCGCCGATTGTGCGACGACAAAGGGCCACCGTGCGCCGTTTACGAGCGCGCCTTTGTAAACGCATTTAACGAAGATCACTGGCTCGAAATGCAATAAGAGCTCGGCCGCGTAAATTCGCAGACGCCCGTTAAACAACGAATGTTAAAAGCCCGCGCGGATTTACGTGTTCATGACGGCTGTGATCGTCGGCGGCGGCAGCCTATCTCTGTCTTTTCAATTTGTCTTTGAGTAAAACAGTTATTGGCACAAGCGCGGTCAAGTATAGAAAACTGCTTGCGTATAATTGTTGATACGATGTTTAGAATTATTTCGAATCGAAAAAAAGCATATGGTGCGTGTAAACAATTTACCGCGTGGAGTTCTTCATTCGATCTATAGCTTAGACTATATCCTAGGGATATTTTTTATATATAAGTAATGTTATTCTAATAATATAGGGTGTGAACGGTATCTTATCACGTGTGCTCAAGTTGTCGCATAGCTATGTGCGATACATGTGCGGTAACTAGAGCTATCGCGAAAACACAACTCAAAACAAAGTAAGATTACTGACTGGGACAACCATTCTATTAGGAATGTTTCTGCGTCTTTTCTATCAGTTAAAACATGCCAAGGCAACTAAGATGTCTGTTTTTTCTATTAACTCATGAATGGGGATTGACGTGACTTAGTAATTATAACCCCATAAAACTGTTAAAATACGACTAGCAAACGGTTACACACATAAAATTAAAACGTGCACAAATATATAACCATGCATAATTTGTAAAACCAGTAAGAATAGAAATAGTAACGGTAGTAATAAAATTTGAAATAATAAGTATTATCATTCTCAAATTTAGCTATAAACTACAAAAACTAATCCAATCTAACCATATGCGCAGTTCTCGCTAGCTATACCTACAATTAACATGAACTAACGTGAACTATCCCAGCCATAATGAACGCATCTATATTACACACATATATATATATATATATATATATATATTATATAATAAATGAATGTATCATTTACTAATATACGTTATTTACTGCCATTAACTGCATACGTGTCTATCGCAGAAAATATAACATTACCTACCTGCGGTTTTGAAACCACGTCTTTATTTGGACTTCGGTGAGATCTAGAGCCTGAGACAGTTCCATGCGTTTACTCACACTCAGATACTTGTCCTTCTATCCGGAAAACAATAACCACGTCACGTGCTTATTAAATGCTATAATGACTGTAGAGTAACTAGTTAGAGTGATATCACTTCAGCTATCGCAAAGTCTAGTGAGTGAGTGAGTGAGTGAGAGAAGAGAGAGGATCACCCGCCGACCCGCAGCCGCAGCCCCGGCGCGCTGACGACTGCACCGTGACGCAGTACATCCGCTTGACGAGAAGTTTGACGGCAAGAATGGTAACGCGTGACGAGCGAGAAGCGTAAGACGTGCGTATCTTCCCTCCTCCATACGACACACAGCGTTAAAACATGGATTATCTTCCTCCTCCATACACCACAAGCAGCGTTGTAGCAGACGCTGGATATCTTCCCTCCTCCATACACACACAGGCGTTAGAGACGTGGATATCTTCCCGTCCTCCATACACCACAGCAACGTGTAGAGACGGGTAGGATATCTTCCCTCCTCCATACACACACAGCGGCTAGAAACGTGGCTATAACTTTCCTCCTCGCATACACCACACAGCGTGGGACATACGATTCAACATCGCAGCGAGCCACGAGGCAGATCATATGAATACTACATAGTATACATGTGGCCAGAAATATATGGATAGACTATATATATATATATATTATATATATATATATATATAATCAGAAGTAGAAGTACGATAGTGTAGTGTAGTGACCCGAGGAGAGAAGAGTAGAAGAAGAAAGAAGAAGAAGAAGAAAGATAGATAATGGAATG